AAAAAAAAAAAAAAAAAAAAAAAGCATGGTTCAGTGGACACCCAGATTCACCAGTTGTTGACATGCTGCCACTGTAACTCTGTCTGTCAAGGTTCAGTCTGGGAAGCAGAACCACTCTGATTAGTATGGGTATTTTGGAATAGGGATTTATTACAGGAACAAGACCTTACACAGTGTGGGAGAAGTTAGGAAGTAAGAGTCTGAAAGAGTTGACAGCTCAGAGCAGTCACTAGCCAGGTGAGCAGAAGAGGTGTGTGCAACGTGCATGTAGCATTCGTGATGCCCCAGGAACACAGAATCCCAGGGACCCACAACGTGTGGGAGTTGAGTGAGACGCAAACCAGCACAAGGGAAGCCCGTTACATCTACAACTGAGGAAGCAGGGGCTCTGAGAGGCCACCCTCTCTATGTGAACCAGAACTTGCTTCCAACGCAGAAAGAGTCAATTGTGTTCTAAGAGACACCCAGCGCCCAAGGAGCCCTATCTTATCCTTTCTTACTCAAGTGACTGCCCTGTGTTAGCCACCACTTAGACCGAAGACGATGGCAGAGGAGGACGGAAAAGATGCGGCCACCTGTACGTTCTGTTCCTCACTCATCAGCCAGCTGAAGGCAGTGAGTATTGGCAGAATGTGCGCATATCAGGATGTGAAATAACAACAACTTAGTTTTGTGCAGGTTTCTGCTGTTCTGGGAGGAGCGAAACGCACATGCACGGACAAGCTTCCACACACACGTTGTGTGATTCACACATGGGTTAAATGCTTTCATGTTCAACTATAAAGATGAACAGTAAAATTTATGCTAAAGATTTAGACTTTAAGTTTTCCTCTACTTAGAACAATATTAAATAGCAAATTAAAAACCACCATGACCAGTGGAGAGAAAGACCATGGAAGGGAGGAACAGCATTATAGTTTAGTACCTTTAACAGCGCTTTTCTCTGGCCTTCTGAACAAGGGGCTCTGCATTTTCCTTTTGCATTGGAACCTGCAAATACAGTAGCCAGGCCTGGGGAAAGTCTAGGCAAGGCCGTTGCCTCTGCGTAGCTGCCTCGTCTGTCGGCATGTCTGGTGGACCACCTGGAGCCACTAGCCAGCAGGGCGCAGGGCAGGGAAGGCGGGGACCAGCCAGACCCCTCCCGCCCCTCTGCCAGCACGCAGGGCTTGCACTGCATCTGACCCTGAAGACCTTCAAAGAGTCATGGCTCCTGTTTCACTGCTGCCTCCCAAATCTTGGGCAAATGTTGCTTTTGGCCACCTCTCACCCAGAATCTATCTATCTATCTATCGATCTATCTCCCCCTCCCCCTCCCCCTCTATCTCTCTCTAACACACACACTAATAATAAGATGATGATGATTTTGCTAAACCGTTGAGAGTAAGTTGCAGACATTTGGACCTGCTTCTCTCAAAAGGTGAGCACGTCTCCTCTGTGAACAAGGACCTCCCCTCACAGAACCACAGTACATTACCAAACTCGGGAAGTTTCACACCGCTGCACTACTATAATCTGCAGCCCACAGCCAATTTCTCCACTAGTGCCCTTGCTGGCAATCTTCGTCCGATCCAGGATCTCACACTGCGTTTAGTTGTCGTGTCTCCGGGCAGACACTCAGGAGCGCCTCCTCCCGGCCAAGCAGAGACGACACGCCAGCCCCTCCTCCCCGCCCAGCACCTCTACTCTCTGGACGAGTTGTCTCTACCACCGCCTGCTCTCCTGAGAAACAGCAGCCGGGGTTTGTTACGGGCATCTCAAACAGAGCGTGTTTTCCCTCGGGAGAGCAGAAAAGCGTTCCATTAAGGAGCCAGCTCCCGGGGGCGGGGCGCCAGCCGCCTCTCGTCGCCTCTCCCCTCTCCCCTCTCCCGTCTCCACGCGGCCGGCTGCCCCCCTTCCCGGCCCTCCTTCCCTGAACCATAAGCGCACACAGGAAAAGGGAATCCGAAACGTGAGCCTCGCCTGTCCAATGTGGCCAGGGTGACCTCCTTAGGGTCCACCCGCTCTGAGCCCTACCCCACTGTGCTATTCCAGAACCCTCCCCGGCTTTCTCCTCCGCTCTTCAGAGGGAAGATGGAAACAGGTCAAAGGGCTCAGGATGGGGAAGAATCTTAAAGGTCATCTGGTTCTATCTGAAGTTTGAACTGTTTTTAAGGACTCACTTCTCCAACTGCAATGTGCACACAAATCACCTGGGGGTCTTGTCAAAGTGCGGATTTTGATTCAGTAGGGCTGGGGTGATGCCTGAGATTCTGCATTTCCAATAAGCTCTCAGGTAGCCGATGGGCCTTCACCAACACTTTGAGTAGCAAGGATCCAAAAGCCACCTCGCCTCTTCTTAAATACTCACAGAGAGTTTACCACCTCCTTAGGAAACTGACAGAAACTCTAATTCAAATTTGTCTTGAGCATAAAAGAGAGTTTGTAGACTCATAAAAATTTCCAGAGGGGGCAGCTTCAGGCACAGCTGGATCCAGGTGCTCAAAGGATGGCATCAGGAATCAGTCTCTCTCCACCTCCCAGCTCTGCTTTTCTCTGCCCAAGCTTCACTCTCAGACTATCTCTACTCTTAACGGGGGTAAGGGTGGCTTCCAGCAGCTTCAGGCTTACGACCTACCAGATTGGCAACCGTACCATAAAGTGAGTTCTTGTCCTGGAAACTTCCGTTGCAGTCCTGGGACTAGATCTCATTGGACCAGCCTAGATCACATGCTCATCTCCTAACGGATCAGTGTGGCCAAGAGGGTGGAACGTGCTGACTGGCCAGGCCTGGGTCACCTGGCCACGTCTTGAGTTGAGGAATGGACCAGTAGCCCCCAAACATGTGAACTGAGGCTCCGGGGAGCGGTAGATCCCCACAGGAAAAGGGGGAGCAGATGCTGGGCAGGCGAACACAGCACAGGTCCGCTGGAGAAAGCCACGGTCTCTTCAAATAACCCTTTGAAAGCCCTGTCTTTTTTTTTGTTGTTGTTGTTTATTGCGGTAACATTGGTTTATAACATTGTAAAAATTTCAGGTGTACATCATTGTACTTCTATTTCTGCATAGATTACATCATGTTCACCACCAAAATACTAATTAC